GGAAGAAGAGAGAGACAGAGAAAGAGAGGAAGGAGGGAAAGAAAGAGGAAGGAGAGGACTGGGGTTTCTTCAAGCCATGGCCAACGGCCTGTTTCATCCCATCAGGCCCCACCTCCTAGTTCTACATGACGCTTCGTGGTGAGTGACCTAATGGCATCTCACACCATCCTGCTACGTCCCCTGCCCAGGCAGGAGCCACCACTGTGTCCAGCACATCCGTATTGAGCGCATTACCCACTGTCGAGCGTTTGGTAGTAACTTTCCAGTTATGTGGCCAGCTGTTCCAGCACCTCAGTGGTTCATCCCTTAATGATGGCCCCAAAGACAGGACACAGGGCCAAGGCCCGAAGCCAGGAACCTGGTCAGGTGGCTCCACAGCCAGGACACAGGACAGGGTGAAGAGTGGTCAGTTGGGGGGATCTTCTAAAGAGGGGGCTTGCTGGGAGGCCTGGGTAAAAGGCAGGGGCCAACGTGAGTCCTCTGGGGCCCCCAGTCCGCTAAGAAGACTCACTGTGCCCCTCACGAGTCCTCTCCCCCAGCTCCCCACGGAAGAGCGATGCGTATGATTCCATGACCTCCCTCGGATCTTAAGAAAGAGGGGGAATGAGACTTCGTGGATGATCCCAGCTATTTATCTTTAGCATTTCTTTCTCTGAAAGGAAAGCAGTCTGATGATCTTCACTTGTTTTCCAGACAGCAGCAAAACAAAACCCTCACAATCTATTTTGGGTATTTCTTTGTCTATGAGAATTCTGAGGCTCTTAAACATTTATCTCAATGTACTTATTAGTGATACATCTAGGACTAGAGAAAGGAGAAATGTCCAGAGGATGGGTGCCACATTATTAAAATACAAGGCTCTCCTTCTGGGTTTGGAAACTTGCTCTCCTGACAGAGGCTCTCCCGGGGCTGGGATGTATCTCCGAGGTGGAGCTCTTGTCAGGCGTGGGTTTGATTCCGAGCCTGCAGGTAGAAGAGGCTTTCCCAGAGTCCTCGCTCAGGCCATGGGCTCCTTCCTCTGGGCCTAGGCTAACCTGCTCTCCTGCCTGGGCCTCTCAGGCTCACAGCACCAGGAATCTCACGGCTGCTGGATCAGCACCAGGGACAGCGCATCAGTCCCCTGTGCCTTCCTAGGTTCCCACAAGGAACCTTCCAGAACCAGCCGCTCTAGAATTCATGTGCAGGATGTGTTGCCCTCCATTACTTCTATCCTACAAACCAATTGGGCTGTTTTTAATCACATTCTCTGCTAGGTGAATTTTAAAATCATTCTGGCACTTTTCTGTATGCCCTGTTCACATTTCTTTTTAAACTGTAGTAAGAACATTTAACAGTTATGATCAGAATTAGTTCAAAATGAAATGTAAAATCACATTTACAGGTTGCCCCGTGGTGAGCGAGCCACTTTTTCTCGTTAGCTTTTCTAGTGGTCTCCCAGTCAGTAGCACCCGAACTCCCACAGTGTCAATCTCTGAGGATACAATGGTTTAGACTGAACCATGTAGCGTAGACACAATTGTGTCTGTGTGCACAGACACGCGTGTACAAGTATGAATGTGTGTGCATGTAACATGTGGATGCAGACCACACTGGATCTGAGTTTCCTGTTCCTACGCCCACTCATAGCCCCAGCTGGGCAGGCAGCAAAGTCCACTCAGAGCCCAATTCTGCTCAGTCAAAGGCCGCTGTGGGGTCTGCCTGTGTCCAGCCTGCCTGTGTCTCTCTTGGGAATCCAGGAAGAGAAAAGCAGAGAAGAGAGAGAAGACCTAACACCCAGCTTCCCAACCCACCGGGGCAACACACACACACTCACCCATACATACACACACACACACACACACACACACACACTCAGAAGAGGACAACACACTGCAGTGTGACAGCATGAGCAATCACTGGGCACTCTCAGGATTTAATTTGTATGCGCTCCCATCCCAGGAGCAAAACTCACCACGAGAGACGCTTTCACCCTGTGAATGCTGAGTGCTCGCTGAGAGAATCACTGGCATAGGTTATGAATCATCGTCTTCTACTCGAGAAGCTAATTTGCTGCCAGCGTTATGAAGCTCCCATATTGTTCCCACTCTATATAAAATAAACAGCAGCATTTCTTTACATATGGGGTGTGAAAACACCAGACAGCTATAAATAGTAAATACACATCTTTGAACACGATGTTACTGCACATCCATATGTCACAGAACGAAGCCTGTGCGGCTTAGTAATCATGCAGAACAGTCAGCAGATTCCGAGGCGGGAGACACAGGCGGAGACAGGACCCCAGTGCCTGGGGCCCCCAAAGTTTATAAACCACAGGGAGCGGCCAGACAGCGGCCAGACCTTCAGCCCTGCTGATGCTGGGGACTGTAACATCGTCTTACACGTCTTCTGCATATTTTAAAATTTGAATACTTTTATTCCAAGTATGCTAATAATGATGATCATAGTCAGAAAACGCAATGCAGCTATTTCTTTCAGAGAAGGAAGGCAAACCACAGTACAATCCTGGTTCATCTGAAGGGGCCAGATTAACTCTAGAAGCTCTATGCACCGTAAGATCACTGACCAGCACACCACGCACGGGCAGACCCAGACACAGTGGCCGGCTTGCCCCTTGTGGCGCAGACCGTAAGTTAAGGGTCACCGGCCATGCACACAGCCAGCAGGCAGGCCAAGGAGCTGAGCCAGTTGTCTAAAAATTACATGTGGATTGGCTGACACCCTGGGAAGAAACTGGCCACTGTAGATGTGGCACCGATGCTGGAGTCCAGGTCCAGCCTGAGGACACCACGCCTGAAAAGAGGTGCTCAAGCAGCTGCCTCCTAGGTCCCCACTCACCTAGTGGGCCTGATGCAAAAAGCACGTGGGTGTGGTGGGCAGGGGGAAGGTCCCTGGCACCCCTGGACTAACTCTTTATAGGGGCCCCCTGTCCTCCAAGCCTGCCAGCACAGGTCAGATGAGGCAGCCATCCTGGACCTCACACGGGCCACTGCGGTGCGTAGCATCTGAGTGCCTCACCCCAAACAGCAGCGTGGCTCTCGCTTCCCTGCTGAGCATCAGCCTCCAATTCAAATTTCGCTCCAGACCGAATCAACAGCAAGCCCTGAGGACATACACGAGCTCCCCACCGTGTCCCAGAAGCTCGGGCTTCTCTGGAACAGGCACACGGGCGCACTACAGGCACACAGTTTATACTGAAAAGAAGCTGTCCTGCAGACACTGCTGCTTTGCTCTCGAAGCTCAGGAAATCGTTTTCTGTACACCCTCTCTGTGCCTTCCTGACCCGACTGTGTCTCACAGACCGTCCTTCAGGCGTCGCCCGGAGCCCAGGACAGTGTCTCTGTCCCGCTCTCATGATCACCACAGGATGCTGGCCCAGAGAAGTCTCCTCCCAGCCGGGAGAACCCCTCTCCAGGACGCGGTGACCAGGCTCTTGATCCTGAGCTTTGGTCACCACGTACCGCACTGCCTCGCCTGCCCTGCCCGATGTGGGTCTTGTGTGCAGCTGTGTGGTCACTCCTCAGAGTCACGACTTAGCCCTTCTTGCGCTGCTGACCTCTTCAGCCTGCTCCATCTAAAACCACTTCCTGTTTAAGCTGTGCTACCCAAGACCAGCGTCCATCGGGTGAGGGTTATTGGAGGGGTCTGCCACGTGGCTACTGGCGCGTACATAAGGGTCCCGCGCCCTCCCCAGCCCTGAACCGCGGCTGCGAATCCGTGGGCAGGGTCTCCTTTGAAAAGCTTTATTTTTACAAGCATCCAGGGTGACATCATTTTTCCCATAAGCAATTTTTGATTATGGTAATCTTCGATTCTCCCATCCTGCTGTCTCAGAAGTTCTGGAATTTTTTAAATGGTAATTTTGGTATGTGTTCAAAATAAAATGTCATAAATATGAAAAAAAAAAAAACCTTCTTCGAGACCTGAATGTAAGGATTATCCATCTCTTCCAAAGATCCCTTTTGAACACTCACCTTATATCTGTTCATGCAAATGTCAGGGGCGTGCATTAGCTCCAGACCTGTTTTTCCTGCCACACCACAAGGACAGAAATAACGGATTCACACCTCTGCCTTCCACTGTAGTCTCGCCTCGGGCCTTCTCTCCTAGAATCCCAGCGTCTCCACATTACTCATCCCCGGCGGGACCTGAAATAGCCCACAGGCTTGATCCGTCTCTGCCAGGCAGCCTCCCGCTCCACGTGCAACCGCAGCGACCCCGGCTGACGGGGGCTGCCTGCCAACGTGGATTTTTGAATTTTGGGGCTCCCAGGAACGCCACATTCCGGTTCAAAGTGTTCCATCGGAGCACAGGGACTTCTCAGACTGGAACCACTGGCTTCTCTCTCCCTCCTGGGATGCTCCACCCAGCAGGATTTCCTCTGCAGTGGGGCGAGGTCTACACTGCACCATCAATACTGCGGCCCCAGGCAGAGTGGAGCTGGGATGGGGCCGGGGCTGTGGAGGCGCTGGGCGCTCACTGGCCTTAGCGTGAGCTTCAGTGGCCACGGAGCCAGTGGCTCCCTTTGTGGGCCTCCTTCCCTGTACCAGCAGCACCAGCCCAAGGAAGGGCGGAAGAGCCAGAGAATTCTCTACTTACCCATCCCCGTACCCATGCGGGCAGAGCCCCAGGAGCCCCTCCTTACTTCTGTGCCTTTAACCAAGCAGGCTTGGGCAGGGCTTCATTTATTTCCCTGGTCCTTCTTTACAGGTTCCCATCCCCCACCCCACCCTAAGGTACCCCAATGTTTCCTCGCCCCCTCCCAGCGGGGGCTCCCCCTAATCTGTGCTTACACTGTTTGCATATAACTGCACGCCCACGCTGTCATCAGCATGAGCTGAGGTCACCAGGGCACCGAGAGGTTAGGCTTTACCCAGGCGCATCTTCTAGGTTGAAAGCCTGGTCCTTTCGAGCTGTATCCCTGACTTTGGGGGAGAGCACTGTGGTGCCCTAGGCGCGGTGGACAGAATTCTGTTCCATGCCGCATGGCACGCTTCCTCTTTTCCAAACGGCCTAGTACAACGTGTTTTACCCCTTTCCTGCTTTATTGATATATTTTCGTCCTGCAACACAACGGGTTTGTCTTCAGATCAATATTTCCCTTCAACATGAAGGAGAAGGGGAAGATGACTGTCCCACCCCGGGACTAAGCCAGAAGGTGGGGTCACATCTTGTGGAGCCTTGGCGTCTGCACATTTTACATCTGCGTGTTCTCGTGCTCAGGACAAGGTTTTGAGGACGCTAATTTCCCTGGGTTATTCTGGGACGTCCTTGTAGAATAACCATGTTATTCTGGGCCTTGCTGACCGCCCAGAACCCGGGAAAGACGCAGCTCTCAGTAATGTGTGTTCACAGAGCAACAATGAAGTAAACACAGTTCTGTTCAGAACATATTCCTTCATGCAGCTTTCAAATAAAATAAACGCCGGAGCTAACAGGAAAAGAAAAACATACAAGAAACCCGGATACACTTTTGCAGCCAAAATAGAAGTTAAATAGTGGCCAATGGGTTGAATTTGAAGAGATTAGAATTTAGAGGGTCACATTCCTTATTCAGCAACAAAATGTAAATATTTGCTATATCTCCATGTGCATCTGTTTTTCACATTGTTATTAACGAGACGCATGTGACATTTGGTCCTTTTTTCGTACTTGTGCACATTCATAATAATACTTTGCCATCCTGACACAAAGGCATAGCAACCACCTGATGCACTTTTTAAATACCAAATAAAAGTTAAACTGAAGGTTCTTAAGCTGTCTGTCTGTCTGTCGGTCTACTGTCTACCTATCCATCTTTGTCAGGGGTCAAACCCAGGTCCTTTCACATGTCAGGTGACTGCTTTATCCCCGAGCAGCACCCTCAGGCCCCGCTAAAATTTAACTTTAAATTTTAATTTTTATTCAGGAATGGCCGCCACCTGCTTGGGACATTAGATTGCGCACTAAGAACAACCCTGCTTTCCCTGCTACTCTCACGGTTCCCTTCGCCGTCCGTCACCTTCAGAGTCATCTACGCGCTCCCCTGGGCAGTTTTTGGGCAAGTTATCAGTCTCTGTGCTCTCCTTCAGCAGGGCTGTTGATTTTAAGCCCCTGGAGGGATACTCGGGTGCGGTGGCACCTGTCTCGGGGTGGAAGACATTTCTCCAGCGTCCTGAGTCCCGGCCCACCTTAGATTTTATCGCACACGTACACTTTTACATCATCAGCAGCAAACAGCCTTTTCTTTCTGAGCCCCGTCCCAGGGGGTGAATCTACTTAGTCACTTGCGGACTCTAAAGGGGTTCACCAGTCGCCGACCAGCTCTTGAAGCTGCACCTCAGTGCTCCCCATTTGCGTCTAGAACTCGGGGTCATCCGTCATTGTCCTGGGCGCCACCGCAACAGTGGACACGATCGTATGATTTCCACGTGGGCACCGCGCTGCTGCCCCTTCCCGGGAAACACGCCTCCGACTCCTGGAAAATCAGTGCCACCGAAACTTCACTGGAAATAGACTGACACCACGTCCCTCAGGGCACACTGCCATTCGGGGTCGAGACTGATTGGAGAACGTGGCTCGCCTTCCCCGTTTCTAGGAGTTTGAGGGTGCGTTTCAGGTTGTTTCATGGCTTTCCGTACCTCGCTTTAAATTTTTAATTTTTGTTGATGTTTACTCCTGAGTATTCTTCTTTTGCTCTTTTGTCATTACATGCACGATGCCTTGTTAACGTTCTGCTGTTTTAAAATGAAAGCTATTAGTTTTATGACAGTTTTTACGAGCTGGTCCCTCTGTTCATCCTTCTTTCCCCTCTGCCCAGTTTCCCACTGATTCCCCGAGGCCCTCTGGCTCCGGACCTGTGTGGTCTGCAAGGGACAGAGCTGCACTTCCCTCTGCTGATTCTGGTGCATCTGATCGTCTTCAGTCACCTAATCTGCAAATCTAACAACATGAAGACCGTGTAGTCTCTGTTCAGCTCCTGACCTTGCGGCTCGTCCCCCTCAGTGTCCTGCAGTCCTTCCTGCCACCACGCGCTGGGATCCCTCTCCTCTCCCGGCCTCTGCTGTTACACATGCATCGCTTGCCCATTGCCTTCCCGTGTTGTGCAAGACAGCTCCACGGTGCAGGACACCCGTGTTCAATCCTCCCCCTAAACTACTCCACAACGGATAATGTGCCTCACATACTGGACCTGATAACCCATCATTCTGCTTATTCTGAACAGCAGTCTAGCCCTGATGCGTATTAAAACAATCAGCCTAGCTCAGAAAACATCAGGAAGCCCAGTTTCAAAGCAATTCCCCCCAGCACGCAAGAAACTTCATGGTCATTAACATCTACCCCAAAGGAGCCATGTGTAATGACACACGCTTGTAATCCCAGCACTCGGGAGGCTGAGGCGGGAGGATCACTATGAGTTCAAGGCCGGCTGGGCTACAAAGTGAGCCTCAACCATAGAGTGAAACCCTGCCTCAGAAAGGACCAAAAAAAAAAAAAAAACCCAAAAGAACAACAACAAAAACATTTATCCCAGACACTCAGCAGGAGGGACCTTCTCCCCACAGCTGGGGGGCCATGAACTGATCTGTGGGCTCAGGAGCTCTGTGAGGGCCCCCAAGTCACTCCCTTTCCTTCCGCGTTAGTGGGACACTGCTTTGCTTGGCCACGGAGGAGTCCGGCCCTAAGGGAACAGGTGGCAGCCACTGGCCCAGGGTTGTGGGTGGCCGGAGCAGGGGTGGCCTGAACTCAGTCCACCAAGGAGTCCTGAGGACACCTGATGTCCTGCTGTCCACGCCCCCTACACCCCTTGCTGTTACCCTACAGGGAGTCTAGGAGAGGGTGGAGCCAGCTCAGCACCCAGAGGAGCAAGGTCACCTCTCGGGACAGAAGGACAGACCAAGCCCCAACTCCCAAGTCCAGGCTCCCAGAGCAGGACTGCTTTCTGCAAGAAAATCGCCCTTGCTGAGCTCCTGCCCTCCACGGCCGAGCAGGATCTCATGGATACACTTTAAATCTTCGTGCAGCATGCAATGGCTTCAGACATACTCAACGGTATTAGTGTGAGCAGGAGAAAAGCCTTCCCCACCGCTGGGAATGAACTGAGCCTGGTAGGAGGGAGCGATTTTCTCGGCCCAGAGAGACCTACGCAGGGACGCTCAGCTGCACGACGGCCCTCCCGGCCTGTCAGTGGCCGGGGATGATAACACACTCCCCAGGGTCCTACAAACACGAGGCGAAATGCAGGAGCAAACACTCACCCGACCTTGAGAAGTCTGCACCGTCCACTCCGAGGCAGGCAGACAGACAATGTGCAAAGTCTGTCAGGGATGTCTGGGCAGGGAGCTACTGAAAAGCACAGAAAGAAGTAATTGTTCCCTCCACCAAAAGTCCTGTGCATTATAATTAAAACCGCCTTCGCTGGCCATGAATTAACAATGTTGTGTACGCCGCAGGTTCTCATATGAGAGATGCTGAACGGAATCAAAGCCCTTGACGACACCCTCCAGTCAGAACACAACCCACACACGCCTCCCGCGCTGGCACCGCGCCGCCGGGCTGCGTCGGGGAAGACAAGCTCGGTTCTGCAGAGATGAGGCGTTCGCCTGGCTCCCTCCGCCTCGGTTCCCGGCCCAGACCCTCCTCTTGCAGGATGAAGCGGGAGGCGGCCACATTCTCTCTCCTGCTCCAGTGCCCTGGTCTCCTCTTGGTGTTTATTATAACCTGAAATCATGTTTGTGTTTGTGATGGTTACCCTCTTGAAACTGAAATCCAGCCCACAGGGACTCTGTGTCAGATGGAGGAAAGAGCCGGAACCTTCCTGCCGTGATCATTTCTAACTCTCTTCCAAGATCCTCCCCCCCCCCCCCCACTGCAACCAGAAGGTCTGACTGGAAAGAGCTGCCAGTGTCCAGCTTCACTGAAGCCCCACTGACGGTCACCCGGGGTCTGTTTAAAGGGTGCGGGGTGCTGTCCAGTGTACCTGTAGCCACCATCATGCGCACTAACATACCCTCACCACTCTCGGTCTCCTGCTCTCTGCCGTCTCTGTCCAGGCACTGCCCAGGTGCACAGTGGACCTTACATCTCAGGGATTCACTCAACCCTCGGACCGGTATCTTGCTTCCTCCATGGCCAGCCGCTGATGACCAGAGCCTGTGCTTTCTAAAGAGCTTAATGGTCTAAGGTCCCACACATGTGCAGACCTGTCTGCTGCTGCTCCTCCTGGGACCTGTCTCCCTTTGCTTAGCATGACGTCCTCCAGGTTTGCCCAGGCTGTCAAATGACACCATTTCCTGCCTTTCTGAGGCTCCACAGTACCCCAGTGTGCACATGTGTGTTCTCTTTATCCGCGTGTCCATCGCTGTGGTTAGGTGGAGACCGTCCCCCGAGAGCCTCAGGTGCCCATCCCGGGGCTTTGGGAAGCTGGCTGAACCCTGGAGGTACGACCCTGAGTGTGCAGTGAGAGGAGTGTGGGGCGCGGCCTGGGAGGGCGGCTCTCCACCCCGGGCCTCTCTGCTTCCTGGTCACCATGACGGGTCCAGCTTGCCTCTGCCCTGGCCTTCCCACCAAGCAGGCTCTTTCTTTTTTTTCCCCTAATTTATTTTCAAACTTTATTGTAGAAAATTTCAATCGTACAAGAACATAAAGCGAATGCTACAGGAATTAATCACTGTGCCGAATATCAACATCCACATGTCCAGTGCAGGATCCGTCCTGTCTTAACTAACCCGTTCCCAGCCCTGCTGGGGTGTTTTAAAGCAAATGGAGACACACATTTCACTGCGGGACGTGTCGGGAGAAGCGATTCGCGACTGTGTCTCATTGACATAACCCGCTCATCACTGTGCAGCCTTGAAAAACAGCCACGAAATACCTGGTCCTTACTCAGATGCTTCTGCCTCTTACATTTCTTCACAGATGTTTGGACTGAACCAAAACCTGAGCCAGCGCTATGGCTGAGCACGGCGTGGCCGGGGTCACAGAGAGACAAGTGCCCCGTGACCTCACTCGTGCATAATTCACAGAGGGAGAAGGAAGAGCGTGGGGCAGCCGAGGCTGAGGAGGGGCAGCTCGTGAAAGGCTGGATTCCAGGTAAGACGGCACAGACCTGTAATCCAGCCTCACCGGGAGGCTGAGGCAGGACGGTCATGAGTTCAAACATGTCCTGGGCAATTTGATGAGACCCTGTGTCAAAAGAAAACCAGATGACAGATAGCAAAACATCTGTGTTTAAGCCTGCTGAACTGAAATGTCTACCCTAAAAGTAAAAAACAAACCTTTCCTTTAAATTATGGGCATCGGCTATTTTGTCCCAGGCGTTAACAAAGTGACTAAGACGGATTTTTGTGCCAAAGAAACAGGCTTGCTGCTGGGGCTGCCACCTGACCTGCGTCACCGTTGGAACTGGTTTGCAGGAGGGACTTGGCACGTTTGGAGATGCCAGCTAAAAAGGCCTAGAATTCTGTGAGCCAACAGTGATGGCTCACAGATTCAGCAGACCACAACGCTGACTAGAAAGGCAGGTGGTAAAAGCCAGGCTCAGGAAGACCCAGCTGAGAACAAAGGCTCCAGGCAGCTGATCTCCAGGCCACGCATGCTGGGTCTTAGTAGAAAATCTGTCTGCATTTTGCTCATGTCTCGAGACTCTGTGGGAGACTGCGATTAACAGCGGCAGACTAGTTAATCTGGCAGAGGAAATTTCAAAGTAGTCCGATGGTCAGACTGTGGCCCGCACAATGTGCATGATTTTAAGCAAGATTTATACTGAGTTACAGGAAGAAAAAGCCTATTTAAAAAGGTCTGAGCTCCTGTAAACTGGGGTCTGTGAACTCGTGGTCAGAGCCAGATCACTGAAAAGATTAACAAGAAGCCACGAACCTTGAGTCAGGGCAACAGAAACAATGCCTTGAGGTCAACCTGGGAAATAGAAAGACCTTGCCTTTGCCCTGCAAAGTGAAAGACTCTGCTTCAAGAAGAGAATTCCAGGCCAAAGAGTAAAGTATTTCCTATATTTTATGAGCCGTGCCAGCACTCACAAGTCTCCGCAGCCATGATCCTAGGGGGCCTGTTTACTGCTTGAGCTGGTGGCCGACCTTGGCATTGCCCACAGGGGGCATTTCACAGGCAGAGAGTGTGAGAGAGTTTCCAGGTCCAGGAGGCGTCCGTCCAGATTTCACAAGCAGGCCTGAGAGGCCAGGCAGGTGCCGCTGTGTAGCCAGCGTGTCGAGGTGTGCAAGTGGAGCCAGAGGGCAGTGTAGACCCCGGGAAGTGGGGAAAATCGTGAGAAGAGGCCCTCTGAGGGACAGGCCATGAGGGCTACAATGGGCAACGCTCCAGGGAGGGCGCCGTCCAAGCCGTTTGGAATTCACGCCTGCACTCCGTGCTGGCCGTGGAGCTAAGGACTTACTGTTCGCTCTGCTGAGTTTCTGCCCGGCGTTGGTGACACGCCTCTCTGTCTCCCTGCCTGTTCCTCTATGGAACAGGGATGTTCACTTGTGTCATTGTTCATCGGCAGTCTTTAATTTTCTTCTTGATTTTCACAGGGCTCACAGCCAAGGGTTTCCCAAGAGTCTCGGAGGAGACTTGCGCTTTCTAGCAGTGCCGGGACTGTGAAAACTCGGATGACTCTTAGAGATGCCCCAAATGCAATTTGCATAAATCAAGTGCACACGATTCTCTTGGGGGCCAGGACAGGAGTACTGTGGTTTAGATCTAGGAGCTCCTCCAAAGGCTCGGTGTTCACAGGTTGCGGGGCCTGTCGGGGGAAGCGGGGCCCTGAGCACGCGGCCTGGAAGGGTCTGCCTCCCTCTGCACTGTTTCTGCTCCTGGCACCATGATGCCATCCGCTGTCCTCTGCCCGACCCTTCCAGCTCACTGCCTCTGCACTGCAGCCCTTGGAGGTTGCCTCTGCGTCCTGGCGAGCGTGACGGGCACTGCCACCCTCCCCGGGAAGCTGACGGCTCTTGCACACATTGCTTCTGAATGGCACAGCAGCTATTTTGCCACCACGAGGGAGGTAGGCACTGGCAGTGGAACAGCAGAGGGGCCGATCGGAGAGACAGACCCTGCTCCCGGTGACTAAAGCTTTGCCTAAAACCGGAAACGTCTCCTGCCTCTTGGTGACCATCTTTCATGGTTCACCTGCCTCAGTGGCATTTTGTATCATTCTCGGTGGCAGATGCTGAGTGTCCACACAGCCTTGTCGCCAGCTGGCTGGTCTGCTCTGCAGCAGCCGCACCACGGCTGTAGTCAGCGCTCCCACCCCTGCTGCATGAATGAACATAAGAGGTGGTAAGAGGGGTCACAGGCCTCGTCTAAGGCAAACGATTTTCCATGTGTGGGGCAGGGATCAGCCAGCCGGATTTATTTACGTCACTCTCTGATGAAAATGAAGTTAGAAAATCCACCTGATTATATATGGAAGTTTAAGCGCACTGGGCAAAGCTGCACTGTGCCTCAAGGCTCCCACAGAACACACTGTGATCCGGCACAGCGGCGTGGACCAGGACTCTGTCCTAGGGGAGCCAGGAGAGGGCGCTGGGGACGGGAGCTACCGCTGTGAGTTACCCCTCTGCTATCACGGACACGGGGAACACGAAGCCCTCACAGGCCGATGCGGCCCCACGAGGTGCTGGGTCCACACTCCGTGTGCATGGCCGTGTCCTCGGGGTCCATGGTCTCTCGGGTGGAAACGTCTGGAATCCTCTCCTCGCCTGTGTTCAGATGCAGGGTCCCACAGGCATCTACAGCACTGCTGTCGCCTGGACCCTCACCCCGTATCCAGGCACCTGGACTGACCACCCCGTGTCCTCCATGTGCCTGGCCCAGGGCCTGTCCCTGAGGTCACAGCAAGTCTGGCGGAAGGACGGCCCACCTCTATAGTCCCTGGCGGAGGGACACACAGTGGGGATACGCCACACCTCCACTTCCTCCAGCAGCCTGAGACACGCTGAAGCTGGCATCCGTGGGTCACGCTCCACAGGCAGGGTCAGCACAGAGCTCTGCTGGCAAGGACAACTGTCAGTCATGTTCTGCACACTACTAGCCTCTGTGGGCACCACACGCACTGCTAATGAGAGCCCTGCTCCCCGAGGCAGGGGGCAGAGCACAGATCCTGGGTGGGCACCACGGGAAGCCACTGAACACATGAGGCAAAGGGCAGGGAAGATCAAATCCTTGCCACCACACAGCCTTGTCATCAGCTGGCCGGTCCTGTCTCACCAGGCAGAGACTCGGGAGGCCAGAAGGGCTGCAGAGGTCCTGCCAGCACACAGCCAACCCCAGGATGGCGGGTGGAACAACTGTTCTCTTTCTCCTCGCACAAGACCTGCATAGAGTCCGCACCCACACGGAAAGACTCAGCAACACGCTGTGGTCCCACTCCTCACCTAGGCGGGTCTGCAGCAGTGGGTGGACATAGGACCTCGAGCTGGCTTTCTCCTCTCTTGATTTGCCATTATTATGCTTTTTAAAAATTAACTAATTAATTTTTTGTTGGTACCGGGGATTGAACCCACAACCTCGTGCTTGCCAGGCAGGCGCTTGTGCTGCTGAGCTAAACCCCCAACCCCAAGGTTACATTTTACAAGACATTTTTGTTCTGTATCCGCTTGTGTGCTTCATTCACTCTGTTGGGGCTTGGCGTGTAGGGGGAGGCTCCTTCCTCAAACGCATGGCAGAGACAGCTTCGGTTATGGTCCCAGTGGGGCCAGATCTGTGGCATCTCATGGGGTGAACGAGGGTGCCACTGGACACCTACAGTTCCCAG